GAGAGAGAGAGAGAGTAAAAGCCCCAGTTCCTTAACTTTATTTAATGCACTTTAAAGATCGGAACACTCCAAAGTTCTATAATTCTCTGATCTTGCAGTTTGAGGGCCTAGAATGACTTTTTATTTCTTTCGTTATATTAAAACAATTAATATGAAGATAAGGAAGTTAGAATTTTATCAATAATAAATTAAATACTTCAATATCAGTCTGAATTTACGAAAAAAATGATATTTACGATTTAATGAAATACTGTGATTTGTTAAAAAATTAATTGTTGTATCAGAGAATCAAATCAGAAATTTTCGTAATGCACTAGTGGGCTATTCATTGAAATCAACGAGGAACATATGCATGGGTATCTCGTCGCACTGGGAAAGTGTTCGATCTGTTGTTCGATTAAAAAAGTTCGCTTCAATAAATTTCGCAATATCGGCAAAAGCCAATATCTCATCGCCGTATGTCATTTGCGAATGGTACTGACAAAACTCGAGACGAAAGTGCACCATACTGATCTCATAACTCGAGGAGGATCCGGTTTAATATACGAGAAGACCAAGACGTCCGTGATATCTTGGAGTTAGATCTTTCGTGATCTATGATCACTTACGTAGAACTTTCGTCCATTAAGGATCATTTCCACTCATCTGCAGCAAGAATCTACAGATCTCTCCAATAACCATGACTGTCAAAATTTGAGCTGTTATTGCAAAATTCAGTAATTTATGCATGATATAACTAAGCCATTGTTAATTCCTTTATATACAAAAAGCTCCTTTTCAAGCAAAAGAGCCTATTGATTTTTTTACTTATTAATTCTGAAACTAAATTAATCATCCTCTCAAAGGTCTAGATTTTTCATAAATGGCGTTGCAAATGTTTTTCTCTTAAATGCTAAATTTTTTTTTCTCATTTTTGTCGAGTCCACTTCCGATCGGCGTAAAGCGACATCGATCTGGTCTTGTATCAAGGAAGTCGAAAGATAAGGACTCATTAGTCGCCATTAGTCGTATGCCTTGCATCCGTAATCCTCGCTTCGCAGTATAATCGGAGGCCATTAAACAATTAGGTGGTGAAATCTCGCCTTGTTAGAGGCTCCTTGGGTGCGGCATTGATTTCGCGGAGGCGGCTAATCGCTGATTAAATACCATCGCCATCTGAAATTGGCGTGTGGGTGTAAGTCACTTATTATCGAGCTTCGTTTCGTATAATACGATCGTCGTTAACGCGGCTGTTTTTCCTGACAAACAGACGAACGATTTTTTCGGAAATTTTTCACACCGGAAAGAAACATTCGTTCGATTGCACGATTGAAATAATCTGACCGATCCCTCGATATGATGAAATAAATTTGCAAAGAAACCTTCGGCAATTGCGAACACAAAGCGCAATATGCACGAATAAACACATTGTTACGCGTACCGCAGAATGCAATTTCCAAATATTGTGTCCATCGTTTTCACGATGGGAATGTTTAATCATGCTAGGAAAATTTGTGGGCGATTCATACGGAATGCGTGATAGCTAATATCAAGCGAGAAAGGCTCTTAAATTTCAAATTACAAAATGTTTCGGAAGTTTCTTTTCTTAGATTTTCTAATATAATACTGCAAAATTATATAGTATTCAAGTTAATGTCTTATTTATAAATTAAAATCCTACTTTCCAAATTTATGTTAAGAGGATCTCTCAATGTCTCAAAAATATATTTAACATCAAATATTAAAGAGTTACAAAAATAAAAATGTTTCAACTTTTTTAAAATATTACAATTTAATAGCAAATTATTTAATATTTAATTTAAAAGTTAGAAAATAAAATTCTATTTTCCAAATTTTGATATAGAGTATCCATGTCAATTTTCTGTGTTCTAAATGTAATTTTTATCAAAAATATATTCAACATGAAAAATTATTAAGTGAATAGATGTCAAATACAGAATATTAAATATTAATTGCATAAATTTGCCGCTACAAATTGATACATTCATCAAAAATCTTTCTTCGATTTAATAATAATTATTAAATACACTTTATACATATGCATATTATTGCTTCTATTGATAAATTCCGCTCATTTCATGCACGGAAGTGCCGCACACCGCGGAATGTATGTGTGTCACCCTGAATATGTAATTGGAAAGAGGATAATGATTGCAGCGCCGTAATACGCGAAGGCGATAATAATCGGATGGCATTCGTTCTAATTCGAGCCATGCTCATCGTGCACCTTTAATGGATACTCTATATCATCTGCGCTGTGCACGACTAACTGCTTAAATTGAAACCACGCGAGAAAATAAATCTTGACGCCGATATCCAGCGACCCCGGTGACCTGCTCCTGATATATAACCCGTGATCCTTAAATCAGGCCGTGCCTGAGGTGTCGCCGATCCTCTTGGGTAAATCACATGTCTTTTCTCGCGAAAACACGATACTCCAAAGCTAGCGATGCCAGATGATGCCTTTCAAGATTCTCAATTCACAATTCGTAATAGATTCGCAGGAATCGTTTATCGATACGAATCATCCGTGTTATTTCGACTCATTATTTAATAGTATGGCTCTATACACGAATATAAATTGATTTCACGATGAATTCGTGCTGATTTGCGCGTGTTATTTGTTTAAAAATTCGCTTCGCTGACGAATCTAATTTTTAAAAATCGAACTTTTCAAACTTTTCATTCGTGACTCGTATGAACAATAAACTGCGGACCCTCGAGCCACAAATCGCGCGTAGTCTAACGTTATCTTAACGCTTTCGCAGTTAAATACCGAACTTTAGCCATGAAGATGCATCTTAAAATTGCCCTTATTAAATACGCGTTGGAAGTTATCGGATCGCATGGTTTTGAATTACGTACAGCATTTTTCCTCTCTTGCTCTCTTTCTCTCTCTCTCTCTC